TTCGGGCATTGTGGCACCAATTTCTCGAGCTCGCTGGCCATTTCTGGCCCGGAGATACCCATCAAGTCTCGCGTTTCGATGTCCAGCTGGGTGCTGGTGTTATCTCCTAACAACCACAATGGAGGGGAATAGGTCTTCCACCAGAGTATTGTAGCAGATTTCTGGGCATTGTCGCTGGCACCGGCCTCGAAGAAGCTATCGGAGACGATTGAGGGGATCGCAAGTTGAGTAGGGACTACACCACCCTGATGGTACACTCCCATGAGGAACCCTAGAGCGGCATTGAAAATCACCCAGGCCGCCAAGAAAAGACGCGATTTGCGCACGCGGAGGCAACTAAGGAGGAGCGGGACGCATGGAAGCAGGAACCGGGGTTCCTGGTGCGGAAACAAGGAAAGCATAGCGGTTGCTGATATGGCAGAGACGGCGCGTATGTTCTTTAGCGAAGACTGGATTGCTTTCGACTTGCTCAAAGAAAGTATTATCGCCACATACGCTGGCCCCAGGAGTTGCGGCAGATTGACTAGAAAGTGATGATACCGAGGGTGAAGGCCATGGAGAGCTAGGTTGGACTTGTCGCTATTGTAGAGCAGATTATTGAGGGGCGTGATGATAGGTGCGTGAACAGCGTCCCAAAGCGAGGCAGAAGGGTTGTAGAATGTTGTATCGACAAGGACAGCGATGCAGAAGAAGAATAAACCGAACCCAGCAAATGAAAGCAAGGACAAAGGCCTAAGAGATGTTAGGCTTGGTGAAAAGAGGGGGGACCAGAAGGCTGCGCAATACGTACTTGCGCCAAAAATGAGGCAGTAACCGCAGTCCTGGGACGAGGAGGAAGGCCGGAAAAGTGATGCGGTTGAAAACACCCACGATGGCGATGAGAGATAGCACGGCGCACGCGAAGATGGACGAGCGTCGCTATAAGCAGTGATTAGCCAGGAGCTAGCATTATCTGGATTCCGCACTAATAAACCTACCTTGTTATCAACAATGCGCTGAATCAAGACTAAGCCCCAGGCGACCAACAGGGTCTCGATGGAGTTGGAGAAGGTGTGCGTCTGATATGTCCAGGTGACATACGAGGATGCGACTAGGACCACCGTCGCGCGGCGATGGCGCGGTAGGGGAACCAGCTCATAGACGGCCCAATCCTCGAGCACAAAGCTCAAGAGAAACATGACCCCTCGCAACACATAGTAAACCAGCTCTGGCGGAGGGTTTAGTGTTCCGCTTTCTGTATAGAATCCCTTCAGCAGGTTCATCGGTACGTCGTAAGTCGGCCATAGTGGGAAGACGCTGCGTATCGGCTTATCGGAGGTGAACTCCCAGGGTAAGCGGGATGGATAGGAGAAAATGCGACCTAGGGAATCACTTGTGAGCAGTGCGCATTCAGTTCCGACGTAGTTTTGGGGTTTGCGGCGGAGAGGACAAGGCTGCTTCGCTGCGCGGGATGCGTCGGAAGAGCGCCATCTTCAGTCACAAGCGGTCGCACCGCCCGGGGAAAAAAAGATCAAGGTCGCAAGGGAGAAAGGAAATAATCTGTGCGACTCAGTGGAATTGACTCACCTGCAAAGACTTCAGGGCCCTGGAAATTCTCATCCGGGTGTACATAACTTGGAGACAGTGCGAAGTACACCCGGATTACCAGCAGCAGCAGGTACGTTCGTCTCCACATGGCTTGGGATTGGGGGAGTTGATTGAAGCACGGAGAATCTCAAGGCGACAAGGGACCAGTCTGATTTTGGGGGATACTGTACATGCCGGTTGCCTAGTACTAGTAGCCGTCCTGCATCCGAGAATATATCTATATGGAGGTGAACGTGGAAAGAGAAATCAAGGAATGACTTGTTGGGACATGAAGGGCGGGCTATCCAGAAGCAGGAAAAGGGAAAAACAATAGAAGCAAAAGCAACTATAGAGCGATAGAGGGAGAGGGAGGAAAAATAAAAAGAGAAAAGAAAAGAAAAGAAGGTCAAAACGTAAGATTCCAGGAGAAACAAAGCGCACTGGAGATAAATGTTTATCCCCGAGAAGTTGAAGCGTTAGACTCCGAGTGGATGGGAAAAGGATGGTTGTTGTCGTGTTCGTGGGGTGATATCACTCTTTTCTGCCAGGAACTATTGGCTTTTGGGGTGAAATTACTCCGTTGATAGTTAAGTCCTGGTTTGTGCTGGTGGGTCAGACAGCCCATCGAGGATCCTCAGGAACGGATCTATCGGCAATTTTGACACCCAAGCATTGAGGCAGATGGGAATTTTCCAACTTGGCAACAACTGGAGACCTTTCCCTTCCACTTCTGCATCCGTGCACCCCCAGAGTTAGTGCGACCGATCGATGGAATGTTGAATGCTGATGGGGTGTGTTGTTGATGCAGCGGTCGGGATTTCCTCCATTGGGAAACACTAGATTCTAGATTATTTCTAGAGGATGAAGAGCGTTTGATCAGCTTCTGCGAGACATCTAGGGAATACCCTTGTTATCGTATATACTGATCAAAGAAACTTAGTTGCTTGTTGGACCTTGGTGGAAGGTACTATACAGATGATGTATAGTTGATAGTCTTTAGTCAACTTCATTCACATCAATGAACACAATAGATCAAATAAGCCACAATGGGCATAAGTTTTAGACAAGGTCAATGAAAACTAGAATAATAGGTAATACCCTTATTGTGACAAAGTGCTGTGTAATAGTATTCACTCTGCTGATTCATTTGCTTGTCTTGTGAGTAAGTGAGGAAAGGAAATCGAAAGAAGAAAGAAAGACCATCCATTCAGGCAGCACCAGGCCACAACCGCCCGGGTGGAGTCAGCAGCAGCGAATGACGGAGGAGTTTGCCGGACCCTCGTCAGCCTCAACGCCGGGCCATTCATCGCTCTTCGCTTTCATCGGTCTCGGAACTCTCCCAAGCAACCTCCTTCCCTTTCAACCCCCAGATTTGAAACTTTGTATCTCTTTCTCATCCTCCTCACTTTCCCACCGCTGGTTGAGATATTTATATTTCTCTATATCTCTGTTTGTTCACCCATTACCCTTGTTCACAACCAACTCACTTGAACTCATTCACATTCCGCTGTCACGGCTAGATTTGCAAAGTAAGCAAACGTCTTCCCCCACCCAGGTACCCCTCATATCTTTAACGTCGTCGCTGGCCTTTGACCCAACAACAACACAACTCACTCCAGTGCTGAGAGCTGACATCTTCACCCAAAGAACTCGAATCTTTTAGACACTTCCTAATACACCTCAACAAAATGGCCGACACACCTGCTCCTTACTCCGGTCCCATGTTGACCTTCATCAGTGGCGACGGCGTGCACATTGAGTGTGGTAAGTGCACGCGGTTGTTCGAGCTCGGCAGACGCGCTCGCCGTCTGTGTTACGATTAGAGCAGATATGCTAACATTTGTGAAAATACAGAACGTGATGTTGCCGAGCGCTCCCTCCTCATCAAGAACATGCTGGAAGATCTGGGTGACGCCAACGAGGAGATTCCGATCCCTAATGTGAGTTATCCGTGAAAGTAAAAGGACCATTGGGGGCCATAGCTAACCACAACCGAAACACAGGTCAACGAAGCTGTTCTGAAGAAGGTCATCGAATGGTGCAGACACCACAAGAACGACCCCCCTAGCACTGGCGAGGAGGATGACTCCCGCCGCAAGACCACCGACATCGACGAGTGGGATCAGAAATTTACCCAGGTTGACCAGGAGATGTTGTTCGAGATTATTCTGGTACGTGTTACGAACTACTCTCTAGGAAAGCCCACCTGCTAACTTGGCGCTTAACTCGACAGGCTGCAAACTACCTCGACATTAAGGGTCTTCTGGATGTCGGATGCAAGACTGTCGCAAACATGATCAAGGGCAAGTCTCCGGAAGAGATCCGCAAGACCTTCAACATCCAGAACGACTTCACCCCCGAGGAGGAGGATCAGATCCGCCGTGAGAACGAGTGGGCCGAGGAGTAAGTCTTTTACGGAAACCCAACACCCGCTATCTTACCATCTGAGCGATGCTAACATTATACTCGCCATAGCCGCTAAATCTGCGTTAAACCATGACATCAGTATGCTGACTCCGACGGCTTGTTGATTGCAAGCAAGCCGAGGAAGGTGAGCCATCATGATGTTTTAATTCGGGTCTCGTTGGGTCTCAGGTTGCAGTTCATGGAGTTACTAGTCTTTTACTTTTTCACTCAATTCTCTTAACGTCAGCGGGTTGCTTTCTCAATCTCTCTTTTCCCTTTGGCCCTTGCCATTCGTTCGTTATGAGCAGGGGATAGATGTAGCTCTAAAGTAGTACATGGTTAAATAATGCTGTTAACGCCATTGCGCATATCTTTGCTGTAAAGTTATTATGTTCCATGTTCCATGTGCAGAGGTAGAGAACTGTAATCATCTTCTTCTGCTAGTAATAGCTTGCATAGCAGTACCGGTACTAGTTGTGACGTAGCAGGCAAGACGGGTTGCTACTACTGTAATGTCTATAGACATACAGCCTACAAAGAACTTGACCTCGAATCCGCGCAAAGCGGCAAGACTACAGCGACACAAACCATACCATATACAGACATAGGAAAAAGATCTTCGTTCAAACTGCTCATTAACCCATCATGAATTTTCGATTTTTGTCGTTCCTTTCAGCTCGTGTACACACATCTTGCAGAAGCACCACTGCACCACCACAAGACCAGTTGAGAAACCCCTCCATCAAAAGAGAAGAAGAAAAAAGCAAGCATTATCACTCCCTCCCCGCTTATGCACTCTTCCTTCCCCTCGCGCTTAAAATAACTTGTCGGGTTTTAGAGCGGAAGAAAGAGTAGAGCAAAGGAAAACAATAGAGAATCAAACGGGCATCTCAAAAAGCGGGTTTTGATTTCAGGCAACATAATCTATAATGATGCAAGTGGATTTTTTGTTTCTTTTTATTTTTTGTATCATCGCGAGCAGTAGCGGCACACAAGAGTTGTTGTCATTGTTGGCAGCGGTATCACAGCAACTGAACGAAACATTTTCCCCCGGGAAAGTAGCAGCAGGTGAACAGAGACATTTCTCGGGGCGGAATCGAAAAAGTCGGTTGGTGTGGAAGGTTCCTCCAAAGGACGAGTTTAGACTCCGAGACGGGACTTGCGCCAGTGCCTACGCTTGGCGTTGTATCTGGGTTGGGAAGAGATATGTTAGTATTCGGAGTTTTTTGGTTCATGGTAGGATTATGTGAGAGGATGTAGAATGTGGGATGTGCTGTGTCCTTTGATGTTGTTCCCAGCGGTCGACTAGTTGATTGAGGGTTTTGGTGTGTGATGGCGAATCATCTGGCGTATCTTGAATATTCCTCCTCTTGTTTGCTCGTTCGTTCATATTCGTTTCTCTCCTTCTCATGCTCATTGTATTTCTTCGCTGGGACTCATCGAGGACTTCGCGGGATGTGTTGTATGGGTTGCGTGCAAATTGGGAACAGGTGACGGTTTTCTTATTTACCTGATGGTGTTACCGGTCCTGAGACGAATCCACTGGGGGATAGGACGGTTCTGTCTCTGAGCTTTGGCAAGCTTCTGCTTGGTGCGGAAACTCTTGTGGCTCTATATTGAAAGAAGAGAGTTGATCGTTAGCCTGCTGTTCAACTTCATCATCCCGACCACTTTTCCCTCTTCCGTGTAGCCGTAATCATATTTTTTATTTCCAGCACAAAATGGAGTGGTTCACGGTCATTCGAATGACAGGGAGGGCTGCTAACCGGCATCTTGAAGACTTGTCGCGACGGCGAGCTGAGTGTATGGACTGGCGATGATGAGGTTGTCGACCGTCTGTCAAGCCGTTCAGTAGTGGTAGTTTTTTTGTGCGGGCAGGGCTTAGCGTTTCGCTTCCGTGGGGTCATGTGATTTATGCCTAAGGCGGAAGGTACCCCATCATTTTGGTTTCTTGGTGGTTCCAGTCGGGGAGATTTGATTTGAACGAGGATAGGATGTTTGTATTTTGCTTCTGATTTGATATTGTGATATATCTAATAAGCTATTGCTGAGCTGGGAAGGTTTGCAATGTCTATGGTATTTGAGCAATACTTATCGTGGTATTGTCCCTGAGTGACTGAACCCCAAACGGGAAGTTACAAGTCACGTGTTATATCGCCCAGTGGCTACAACATACTAAGCGCTCCAGTAAAGATCATTATCGTAGCATCCTGAAGAACAATGTGATGTGTCTGCCCTTTGATATGTCCCTGGGGATATCACGGCGCTTGGGAGGGCGATAGCGCGCGTTTGCTGCTCGATAACAATGTAACACCCCCTCGAAGAATTGGACAGTCGATAGTAGACATGAAGAGCACAAAACCAGCCGGTTTCGAGTTTTCACGCTACTGAAGATGCGCTCCTGCATAGTTACATCCCCAGTACAGAATACTCGTAGAATAATACATTGTTGTATTGCAGACAGCCCGCTTGGATGGCGAGACAGCGCGGGACCATGGGAGTCCATTACATTGATGAGGTGTGGAAGTTGCGTCACGAGCTCAGTTCACGAGCCAGGATCATACTGTAGAAAACAAGATTTGACAACTGGGAGTAACATTGATGGATCGGATGTCATACCGATATTCTCCGGATATTTCAAGCCACAAACTTTGTAGATGGGAGCCTATGCCTTAGCGATTCGACGCATCATAGACAACTGTTGACTTATTAATGAAAGCGTCTTGTTTGCTGCCTCACATCGGCGTCGGCCGCCCATCCTCCCGTCGACCAGTCAATTAAATGAGCTTATCAACATTATATACGAATGCATGGGATTCGTTCGGAAAGCCTATGTTCCGGCCTAGCGTAGACGGTATCTACCGCACATTATAGCGTGCATGGCCCTGTATTTGAACTTGGCGGGGGTTAGCAAGTCCCGAGCCGCTTCAGGGATCCAAAAGGCTCGGAATGTTCAATGTACAGTTGAGCAGTTGCTGGGGTAGCTAGGTGTCAGGGCGTTACCACAAAGTAACTTTTTCTATTCGGGCCAGAACGAGCCCGTCAGGTTATTGATCAGATAGCAAACAGTAGATAAGTAGGAGCTATATCACCTAGTTTGACCGATATTGGGAATCCAACGTGCTGTTCTAAATTACACTGTAGATTTAACATTCCAAACAATAAATCACAGGCGGTGAACACAACTGATAACTTCGTACAGAGTACAGCTGCAGGATTCAATAAAATCATGTCGGGGACCCAAACAGGTCAATTCTCGTAAGCCGAACACGAAGCTAGACATAGTGGGAGATGAGTCAAAAGTAGACGTGGTAGCGAAGATACTATCAGCATGTAGCAGTGGATATGTCCATGGTAACGGGCTATTCAAGGATTTCAGATGGACCAATGGAAGAAGGCACAAAGGACCAGGACCGGTTAGTTTATGGTGTCGATATGCCTAATCTGGCATCGACTGCGATCGGTAAGAAGTATCTAGCGGGCGGCGGTGCTCGGAGACCCCGACTCGCCGACTTCTATGCAGAATACAACAAAGATCCTTTCAAGAACCTTTGTCTCAGGCACACACGAGCCAAACCAATATTGCTAATTAGGCTGCCATTTCGATGACATCCACGCAAACTTGCAATCCTTTCGCCCACATGGCCCTTGGTTCGGTGGAACCTGAAACATCACTAAGATGGACAACATCACAGGGATTATATCATGATGAAGAATACGTACCTAGTAGATGCCTGCTGTTGGCGAAAATAAACAAAGGCATCTGGTGCGGCATGTTTTGATGTAGATCACATATTCATTGGAGTGTTGGAATGCACCAGGAAAAGGTACCCGCCCCTGATTTCCTTATGTCAAGTGTCCATCCATTTTCAATGTGTATGGAGTAAAGTTCAAAAAAATTGGGGCTTCTCAAGTCTCAGATTCCACTAGCTTAACTGTCGAAGCATGAATGGCAGCCCCAGCCTGCGTAGTTGTAGCTCAAGGTTGCTACCTACAATGCTATCAGCCTACCGCCATGAATCTATCTAACTCGTGCCCTAGCAGGTATAGATATTAGATAGTCATACAAGGGACGGAGTAGACTACTTTGCCTTCACTTCGGTACCCAGAAAAGCCCATGCGGGTCTTCGGTAAATTAAAGCTAATCTTCTCCGTACTCTCAGTCGATTTTTTTTTTTTTTTTCAGGCGGAGTTGTGTCGGACCCCCGCCAATTACTACTAGTAGTAGTAAGTACTAAGTAGACTAGAGCCCTTCAGCCATACACAGCTGGCGTCGTATTCGTAATACGATTGGTAGGGCTCTTGCCTCTTCCTTCAGCAGGGAAGATTGAGGAGGTTACGCGCTGTGGTTCTAGAACCAGATCCGAAGCATCATCACCATCATCCATTGAAGGTTCAATTTTGGAGTGTGACTGTTGTGACTCAAAAGTGAGTTTCGCCCCTAAATAACTGAATAAATTATTATGACTCCTGGTTTACGAAGGTACTTGCTATCCTGGGAGAATCGGTAGCCCATGCAATGAGGTAACAATTATTGTTGGTGTTCTTGAAAATTCGAGCGAGGGCCGGTTCATAGAGTGCTGATCGTAGGTAAGATCTTCGTAGTTTATGTACGAGATAGTATATATGGGTGGACTTTATCGTTTGTTATTATTGACCTGCAGTGTAACAGAGTACTGCAAATTGTACCAATTAGACATCTGATAAGCTTCCTTCTGCAGAGACTTTGTGAGATTATTGTTGAGTATTGCAGCAGTCTTTCGTGAACTGCGACAACCAAACAACGACTTACTATCATCTACCAGAAGGAGATATTATTAATAGGTTAGTAGATACTGTAAATAGTAAATACCACCGTCTACCGCATCTGGAACAGCATCAACATAAAATCTCGGGAATATCAGCAGGTGGAGGTCCGGTGGGGGAGATGCATAAAATGGCCCTCGGGAAGTCGGGGCTCCGACCCAGCAAATGGAACTAAACGCGACGGCCACTAAAAAAGTAATCCACCATTCAATCAAGCAAAAGAAGATTGGAAGGCAAAGATGGGGACTTGTCGCTGACGCAGATACCTTTTTTGTCTCTAGTTAAGTTGAAAGGCCAGTTTGGGTTCCAGAATCAAGTCTGATGCCTATTCTTCTTTAATTATGATTAATATTTAGAGCCTCCTCCCCTTTTTTCCCACATTTTTAATTCCCATCTTGTCCTGGGTCCCTTTCAATCCAGTCTGACTTGCCCTCCACCACATAAGTTGTAGTTGATCATTCCATCCCTATCTGCCACGCGTGTGGAGGAATATCTCACAACAGGGCACCAGCCATCCTATCTCTCTTCCTAACACCCCTCCCCCTCCCTGCTCCCATCCCTGCGCGTACTTCTCTCCCTCGCGTCTGTTATTTTGGGGGCAATCGGCCAGCTCCTGCTTCAAGCAACTTCAACTTTCCCCATCAGCTGTCCCACCTCATGGAGTAGAGCGATCTCTTGTCCTCGTCTTTCACCCTCCTCCATATATACCAGAGAGTGAGGCTTTCGTTTCGACACCTCGAACGGAATGTCTCACCCAGAGAATGAGCACGTCTCGGCGGAGACATCCCCGAACGACGTGGAATTGACTGCAATGGACGGAGCAAGACCGTCCTCAGCAGAGCAGCGCAAGTCAAGCGGCCAGTCGTCAATCACCAGTACGACAATGGTTCCTGCAGGAGAAAAGGGCCCAGCGTCTCAGCCATCTACTGGCAATCAGCTAGCCCGAGCAGATGATTCAGATGCGCTGTATGCGCATCTTCCCGAGCATGAGAAACAGATCTTGAAGATGCAGTTGGACGCGGATGATGTGAATGTCGCCTTCTTTGGTCTGTTTCGCTATGCTTCCCGAATGGACCTTGCGATTATGTTCGTGAGCGCAATCTGTGCCATTGTCGCAGGCGCTGCGCTGCCTCTTTTTACAGTGAGTGCCTATCTATGACGCCAGTTAATAACCATTCAGTTCATAGACTGACTTCGACCTAGATCCTCTTCGGTTCCTTGGCCTCAGCTTTCCGAGGCATAGCCTTGTATGAGATTACGTACCACGACTTTTATCACCAGTTAACGAAAAATGTTCTCTATTTTGTTTATCTCGGCATTGCAGAGTTCGTCACCGTATACATCTCCACTGTCGGCTTCATCTACACTGGTGAACATGTCACCCAAAAGATTCGCGAACACTACCTTGAGTCGATCTTGAGACAAAACATGGGTTACTTCGATAAGCTGGGTGCCGGTGAAGTGACTACGCGCATTACGGCCGACACGAACCTCATCCAAGACGGTGTCTCGGAAAAGGTTGGACTGACATTGACCGCCATCGCCACGTTTGTCACTGCCTTTATTGTCGCTTATATCAAATATTGGAAGCTGGCCCTGATTTGCACTTCGACCATTGTGGCGTTGGTTCTGCTTATGGGAGGTGGATCTCGGTTTATTGTCAAGAACAGCAAGCAGGCTCTGCAGAGCGCCGGTGCCGGTGGTACTGTAGCGGAGGAAGTTATCAGCTCCATCCGCAATGCAACTGCTTTCGGAACTCAGGACAAGCTCGCAAAGCAATATGAAACTCATTTGGCTGAAGCTGAGAAGTGGGGTATCAAGACCCAAGTGACCCTTGGTTTCATGATTGGTGGCATGTTTGGTATTATGTTCTCCAACTATGGCCTTGGCTTCTGGATGGGTTCCCGCTTCCTCACAGACGGTGAGGTCAATGTTGGCCAGGTCCTGACTGTGTTGATGGCTATCCTGATCGGTTCGTTCAGTCTGGGTAACGTCAGCCCTAACGCTCAGGCATTCACCAACGCTGTCGCCGCCGCTGTCAAGATCTACGGTACAATTGACCGCCCCTCGCCCCTGGATCCTTATTCCGAAGAAGGTGAGAAGCTTGAGCATTTCGAGGGCAACATTGAGTTCCGTGACATCAAGCACATCTACCCTTCGCGACCAGAAGTCACTGTCATGGATGGTGTTTCTCTTAGCATGCCTGCCGGAAAGACGACTGCCTTGGTGGGCCCGTCCGGCTCTGGAAAGAGTACCGTTGTCGGACTCGTTGAACGCTTCTACTTCCCCGTAGGGGGCTCTGTTCTGTTGGACGGCCATGATATCTCGACTCTCAACCTTCGTTGGTTGCGTCAGCAAATCTCGCTGGTCAGCCAAGAACCTGTTCTCTTCGGCACTACGATCTATCACAACATCCGTTATGGTCTCATTGGAACCAAGTTCGAGCAAGAATCCGAGGAGAAGATCCGAGAGCTGATTGAGAATGCGGCTAAAATGGCCAATGCGCATGATTTTATCACGGCACTTCCCGAAGGATATGAGACCAACGTTGGTCAGCGCGGCTTTTTGCTTTCCGGTGGACAGAAGCAGCGTATTGCCATCGCGCGTGCCATCGTAAGCGATCCCAAGATTCTTCTCCTCGATGAAGCCACGTCTGCATTGGATACGAAATCCGAGGGCGTCGTACAAGCAGCACTGGACCGAGCTGCTGAAGGTCGAACCACTATCGTGATTGCCCACCGCTTGTCTACTATCAAGACGGCGCACAACATCGTTGTCATGGTGAATGGCAAGATTGTGGAGCAAGGAAACCACAACGAGCTTGTCAGCCGTAAGGGTACCTACCACAGTCTTGTTGAGGCCCAGCGTATCAACGAGGAAAAGGACGCGGAAGCCCTGGCTGCCGACGAGGATGTGGATGAGGAAGATTTCTCCAAACAGGAAATTGCGCGTATCAAGTCTGCTAGCAGCGGGTCTGGCTCTCTCGATGATGAGGATGAGAAGTCCCTCGCCGGGAACGGACTGAACCGCAGTGGAACGCACAAGTCCATCTCCAGCGCCATTCTTTCTAAGCGGGAGCCCGAGGTGGCTCGGAAGTACTCCCTTTGGACGTTGGTCAAATTCATCGCCTCTTTTAATCGCCCTGAGCTCAAGTATATGCTCATTGGCTTGGTCTTCGCCGTCCTTTCCGGTGGTGGCCAGCCGACTCAGGCTGTGCTCTACGCCAAAGCTATCAGTACACTTTCCTTGCCTACTAGCGAGGCCGCCAAAATCCGTCATGATGGGGCTTTTTGGGCTCTGATGTTCTTCGTTGTCGGAATTGCTCAGTTCATCAATCTTTCCATCAATGGTGCCGCATTTGCCGTCTGCTCAGAGCGACTGATTCGCCGCGCCCGTAGCATGGCCTTCAGGTCGATTCTTCGCCAGGATATCACCTTCTTCGACCGAGAGGAAAACAGCACTGGTGCGCTCACATCATTTCTTTCGACGGAGACTAAGCATCTTTCTGGTGTCAGTGGTGCGACCTTGGGAACTATTCTCATGACCAGCACTACTCTCGGCGCAGCTATGATCATCTCTCTATCTATCGGATGGAAACTGGCTCTGGTTTGTATCTCTGTGGTCCCTGTCCTTCTGGGTTGTGGTTTCTACCGTTTCTACATGCTTGCAAGATTCCAACAACGATCCAAGACTGCCTATGAGGGTTCTGCAAGCTATGCTTGCGAGGCGACATCTGCTATTCGCACTGTCGCATCCCTTACTCGGGAGCAGGATGTCTGGGCAATGTACCATTCTCAGCTGGAGGACCAGGGCCGGAAGAGTTTGATATCCGTGCTGAAGTCTTCTATCCTCTATGCATGCTCGCAAGCTCTTGTTTTCTTCTGTGTTGCACTCGGCTTCTGGTATGGAGGTACTCTCCTCGGCCATCACGAGTACTCAGTCTTTCGCTTTTTCGTCTGCTTCTCCGAAATCCTGTTTGGCGCCCAGTCCGCTGGTACTGTTTTCTCCTTCTCTCCTGACATGGGCAAGGCGAAGAACGCTGCAGCTGAGTTCCGGAGACTGTTTGACCGGAAGCCAGAGATTGACACATGGTCCGAAGAGGGCGAGCAGCTCGAATCTGTGGAAGGAGAGATTGAGTTCAAGAATGTGCACTTCCGGTACCCTACCCGGGCCGAGCAGCCTGTCCTGCGAGGCCTGAACCTGACCGTCAAGCCTGGACAATACATTGCCCTCGTCGGGCCTAGTGGATGTGGCAAGAGTACGACAATTGCGCTCCTCGAGCGCTTCTACGATGCCATTTCTGGCAAGGTTCTTATTGATGGAAAGGATATCACTCAGATCAATGTGAACTCATACCGCAGTTTCTTGTCGCTCGTCAGTCAGGAACCCACCCTGTACCAAGGCACTATCAAGGAGAACATTTTGTTGGGAGTCCGCGAAGATGTGACGGAGGAGCAACTTGTGAAGGCTTGCAAGGATGCCAACATTTATGACTTTATCATGTCCCTGCCGTAAGTTCCACCCTTTATTGTCCGGAAAGGATTTGGCACTAACAACCATTCCAGTGAGGGTTTCAATACCGTTGTTGGTAGCAAAGGAGGCATGCTGTCCGGAGGTCAGAAGCAGCGTGTGGCGATCGCACGCGCCTTGATCCGGGATCCCCGAGTGCTTCTTCTGGATGAAGCCACCTCTGCTCTCGATTCCGAGTCCGAAAAGGTTGTCCAAGCTGCATTGGATGCTGCGGCTAAGGGCCGAACCACGATCGCCGTCGCACATCGTCTGAGTACGATTCAGAAGGCCGATATCATCTATGTTTTCGACCAGGGGAAGATCGTCGAAAGCGGAACCCACCAAGAATTGATCCGGATAAAAGGCCGTTATTACGAGCTGGTTAATTTGCAGAGCCTGGACGGTGGCCACTAAAATTTATTGCATCCTGTTTAGATCTCTACTGTCTGTTTGCTTTGCTTATACCCCCCCTTATACTTGCGATTATCTCTCATCTCTATTTATCCTGTAATGTGTTATGATCTCTTCTCAAAAGCCATGTTTGGTGTTGGCTCTGGTGGTCACTCAATTTTCTTGTTACTTCTTAAGCTGCATTCATCGGCTTGGAGTGGGCGGGCATTCAGCTTGCTTAGAATGGAAAATCTCACGACTGTACTTTAGTTTTGAGGGCAACTCCCATTTTGTCATCAGCTGGCGCATATAAAAGTAGTAGCATTGCATGACAGCTTCAAGTTATTTTGGTCACATATTCAGGATGGCTCCCGATTCTACTGATGTAGAAGTCTGTATTCATAAGAAGATTACCCCTCGCCATTCATAAACGCCAAACCACAAAGCCATGCTCAAACCTGTTTACCCGTTCCTGAACTCCGCAAGAAGCGACAACTAATACCCTGGACGCCTGCATCAATCGCTAACCCCATCAATCAACATCATAACGAAGTCAGTCCCGATCATCCAAACCATACTCCCTCTGCACGTCCACCTGCCGTACACCACGAGCATCTGCAATCAGACCCATCAATCCCTGGGCGATATCTTTGATTTCATTGTACTCATGGAGAAGACGAATGTGTCGTTTGACCGTCGTGGATGGGTCGTTTCTAGACTTAGTGTCAATAAGTGAGATTACCGGTTGATTGATGGACTGGTTATGTGCTTGGTTTCATACTTCAATTTGGCCTTGGTCTGTTCTATTTGCGTTTCTGTTTCTGTGATTTGGGATTGTAGACTGGCGATGGATGTGCGGAGGGTGGACTAGGCTTTTTCTTTAATTGGATGTTGCTACTTGTTGGGGGGAGGGTATATAGTTACCAGCTTCTTGTCTTTTTGGGTCTGGGTCTGGTTGTCACTGGCTGGAGTTGTAGTGGAGGAGGTGGCTTGCTGGGGTGGTGGCATGATGGTCTTCTCTATAAGTTGAAACCGGGCTGTTATGTTAGAGGGAATAACCAATGTAACAGGATATCCTTGGCAATGATTCAGAGAGCTAGCTGCCTTGACTGCCTGGTGTGTGGGGAGAGAATAGCGTACTTTTTGTAGATATAAGTAGAGTGAGTACGTAGGCCTGGATGGGGCCCGTCTCTTCTATGCCGTCCGATCTGCAGTTTCACAGATAATTCGAATCCACTGTCAAGCGATGATGAAAATCTTTCACCACGGGGTTTGGTATATTTTTGCTTATTATTCTAGAGGAATAGATTAGAAATGGCGATGAGCTGAATTGTTTACTATCCTTAAGGAATTAGTCGTGCTTTTATTGTAGTAGTAGGTACTAAGGTAGTATACTAAGTAGTACTGACTGCCTGGTAATTGTGGCCATACAACGCTGGGCGACCAATCCGCTTCGCCCGATTTCGCGGCTCCCTTAATAAGGCCGAATAGGGAACCGAACTCCCGCCTCCGCCTCCATCAATAATCCTCATCCTCAATCGTCTGACTCTCTCTCTCCCCCCTCCCCCCCCCCCCCCCCCCCCCTTCTTCACTCTTTCTCTCCTCGCAAAAAGGGTGAAGTTGATCATGGCGATATCGAGTCGATTTGGGCCCCAAGGGTTGCTAGCAGTCCTACTGCTTGCTTCCCCGGCTCTGGCCCATGGGGGCCATGAGAGTGTCCCCGAGGGTGCCGCCATCTCCGAGGATCCGATTGTATGTTGTCGCACCTGTCTGCGATCGCAGCGGTCTCAACAATGTACTGACTAGTCGCCTAGGACACAACACTATGGATACACATGATTCTTATGGGTTTCGCCTTTGGCATTATTTTCCCCTTGGGCATGGTTCTTGGGGTAAGCTGGCCCTGTTACATCCTATCTCCGGCCTTCCGCGGTCGGGGATATCTGGTTGCATGATTACATGAGGTTCATATCTGACACTTCCGCTTTACGATCGCAGATTGTACGCTCGCGCTGGCACGTCCCTCTCCAAATTGTCGGAACGATCATCGCTGTGCTCGCATACTTCCTCGGACATGCTCATAAAGGTCGCCAGTTCTCGAAGAACGTCCACGCGTCCTTTGCGAACACACTGATGCTCATGATGGTGGTGCAGATCGTCCTCGGCATCTATCTCAAGCTGCACCTTTCCAAGGGAATTCATGGCCGGATCCGCCGGGTTATTGTGATTGCGCACGGAGTGGTCGGAAAGGCGATGCCTGTGGCGAGTTGGGTCCAGATGCTCTTCGGAGGAATCACCGCCATGGGATTCTGTCGCGATGATCACTTGGGACAGTGTCTGGCCCATTTCATTATGGGTAGCGCTTTCATCGCCTACGGTATCCTGCTGACCATTCTTCTCCTCGTTGGCCAGTACTGGCTGCGCCGCACTGGCCGCAGCCAGGAGTTCTTCGACTCGTTGATTATCGCTGCATGGGGATGTGTCAACACCTTCACGGAACACCGCTGGGGAGGTCCCTGGGTCCACAATGATCTGCAGCACACCACTATGGGTGTTGTTTGGTGGTGCGCCGGTCTACTGGGTATCTGGATGAGCCGGAAGCGCAACGGCCGGCCCAAGCGGAACTTGATCCCAGCCATTGTTATTCTCCTCACTGGTTATGCTATGTCTGCCCACCCGCAGACTCTGATGATTAGCACCATGATTCACAGTATCTTCGGTTACACCTTGATGGCTGCTGGTTTCACCAGAATCGTCGAGATCTCCTTCGTGCTTCGGGACAAGGGCAGTGTCAGCCCCGACGGATCCGACCCTAACAGCTTCCAATATCTCACGCCTTTCGTAAGTCTTCCACAGCCCTCTGGCTGAAGTGTATCGTCGGTCTAAACATATCACAGCTTCTATACGCCTCAGGATTCCTCTTCATGGGCGCCACTGAGGAGCAGATGCAACTTCTGAACGATGCAGGAATCACCCACGTCTCCTACGTTCTCATCCTCTACAGCATCGCCTTCATCCTCTTCCTCTGTAAGACTACTTTATTCCCCTCAAACCAAAGAATTACACTAACCCACTGAACACAGTCGTCAACGTACTCCTCCACATCTACGCCGTCCACGCATGGCCCGAATCCGCACAAGCGCCTTCCCACTCGCGCTCCTCCAGCGCCGCAGATGCCGGCGAGGGCTCCTCCCGCTACAGACCCACCGGTAACGGCCGCCTCATGAACGGCCATGCCCGCTCCCCCTCGGAAGCACAGCACCTGCACGACGCGGAGGAATTCGAACTCCAAGGCCTTATCTCCGACGAGGAGGATGACGCAAAGGACACCCACGCCATGGGTCCGAGGAAGACTGAGGACGAGGAGAATTCTCCTTTGGTTGCTAATGGGACGGCAGCTACGACGCATTAATTTGGCTCCTTAGAGTGTGCATTGGGTGTTTCTTACATATTCTTCTTATTTTATCTTTTTCAAAAGATCGTTGAGATATCGGATATATTAGTTTTTTTTTTTTTTTTTTTTTTTTTTTTTTTTTTTTTTTTTTTTTTTTTTTTTTTTTTCTTTTTCATTTTCTTCTTTTGGTTCGTATTGTATGCAGAGATCTCTGGTACTATGTAGTCTTCTAGTTCGCTGTAGCTATGGGGTTCAGCGTGGGTATTGGGTTTGGTTTGGGCACATTCTGTACATGAGTAGGCTTGAATTAGTATAAACTAATTCCGTACTTCTCTAATCAGTGTAATGTTCATCAATTCCTAACACTAATGCGAGTGGCCTATTTATGGAGAGAAATAAGAAAGAAATCTAGATGGCTTTATTTTGAGTAATTCCCCCGGAAGATATCGAAATCGTGTTATCAGATCTATCGTACACGTCGTAAGCGGATCCCCCCACCAAGCAGGGATGCCCATATGCAAAAAGGAAGAAATAAAAAAAGGTCAAGACGCAATACTCCTCATCGAGTAGACTGCCGTCTACGACTTAGCGGGAGGGCATTGAAAGTGCTGGGGCTGGCTCGCCATCCAACGGGATAGCCTGAACAACTGGAACCACGGGTGGAACGGCGTTCTCAACTTCCGGAGGGAAGAATGGATGTAAGGGGTAGATGGGAGCGGCGGAGCGTTCTCCATCGAAGAGAAGCATGTTCTGGAGGGGGTGTTCTCGTGCGCTCAAGACGTTGATCACGTCCTGGGCGAGATAGCCGCCTACACATGCGGCTACAGGGCTCAGTTCACTTCCCAGGTTCTGGAGGAAAGTGCGCAGGAACCCGGCGTCCAGGGTGGTGATGTCGAGCTTGAGTTCCTGGTGACAGTCGCGAGCGTGCTTCGTGAAGAGTTCCAGGTCTTGGTGGGAGAATGTGGGCAGGGCGCCGCCGGATGATTTCTGATATTCCCATAATGCGCGGAGACAGGTGAGGAGAGGTGTTACTTGTTTGCGCTTGCGTGCGATGCGGGTGAACTCCTCGGGAAGTGGCGAGGTGTTGGCGAGGATCAGCGGGGAATACACTTCGCGCTTGGTCACCATTTCGATGACCTTCTCGTTCTCTTTCTTTGTGGTGATGTTTAGGATACTGCGGGTCGGGGTTTCCTGCGTGGCGGATGGGACGTTGGGCTTGGTCCGCTCAATGACGAAATCGTGCGAGATCAGATCGGCGAACATGAAGCCGTAGAATCCGTGCAGTCCGGCGGCATAGAAGGGGCGGTTCGCGATGCGACAGGCCGCATTTATGGTGGTGTAGGTAGCAAAGTCAAGCTCGGTCGCGATGGTAATATCGAATTGGGCGAAGAAGTCGGGCTGTTTGAGGTGGATGTCTTCTGTGTCAATGTGAAGCTGAACACGCGGGTTCATGGCCCGGACAGAGGGCGCTGCCGCTTGCGCGCGCTGCGTTGCGATCAGTATATGGACAAAGCTTGCTAGGAATGGAACAGCGCACGTTTTGACCCAAATGTTCCTGATTTATGAAGAACTGCGCGCCCAAGTCCTCTTCTGTCACCACCTCATGATCAACGATGGTCAAGGAGCCAATGCCTGCCAATACTAGATTCTTCGCAACTTCGTTCGCCAGCGCCTTAAACGTGATGAGGAGGATGTTCGCGGATCGGAGTCTATAGAGAATTTACTGTCAGCTTGATCGGGTTGGTTGGTAAGCATTGTAGTTAGTTGGGAGAGCTCACTTTTCCTGTGCTTTAACTCCCCAGAGGCGGATCTGGCGATCATACAGAGCTATCTCGTCTATTGCGTTCCATGGACAAGTCAAACGTCGGTTTCCATTGGATAGTAGATTTTTATCGGAGATGAGATAATCTTCTTACCAGCGCTGATAGTCTGAGCTGGATCGGGCTGTGGCTCCATTGCGACTGTTCGCGAAAGCTTTCTTTCTGGTCTATGTCGGAGTGCCGGAGAAGAGTGAGGGGAAGAAGTATGGGACACAAGACCGCGAATGGAAAGTAGCGGATAAAGGCGGATCGGCCAGCAGTTGTGGGACTTGCATGTATCTTCGCCGTCGGCAACGGGGTCTTCTTGAAAACGGAATCAGGTGAACGAGTGATTGTACTTATACGAAGAGAGTGAAAGAAGGGAAGCGGAGAGTAGTAATAGGCAGGAGGAGAGCTTACCCCAGCATCATCACGTGCATGGGCCATTGAATGAATGCTTTTGGGGAAATCAACCAAATCAACTTAACTTATCATTTCACCCCCTCATCAATCATCCTCCCAATTTCAACCATCTCGCCTCCTTCTTATCACCCATTCATCAGCCTTCATTTCTTGTTCGAGAGCCTTTCCCATGTCACCGCTGTGGCATTTTTGTGCCTCCCCCTCGTCTGCTTAGCTGCTTTTCTTAATCGTGTCCCTCGTCATTGCCTCATAATCGCGGTATAGTTAGTTACTCGGCCTCCGCTCCCGCTTCCGCTCGCTCACTGCCTCTCCCTCCCGCTGCTCCGAGCCAACTCCCACTGATCACGGAACAACTCACTCTCACAGGATGGTACGTTTGTGAATCTAGCCTTCCCTCCGCTACCAATAGAAACCTTACACGGCCTAAGCATCCACATCCCACCCCGCTTTGCTGCAGCTATTGACTAGCATGTACCACTGTAGTCGGGAAATTACGACTATCCTCCTGCCTCTCGCCGTCCTTCTCGTGGAGCTCGAACCAATGAGCGACAACAACAGCAGCAACAGCAGCAACAGCAGCAGCCTCCGCTGAATCGTTTACAGCATCTCCGGGAGCTATTAACGTCGGAGCGTAACCGCGGTGACCTCGCCTTCGCCCGTGCTGTGGAGACTTTAAACCAAGAGATGGACGATTACCGCTCTTCTCGCTTCTGGGACCGTTCTAGCTTTGAGCAAGCCAGGGCAACCCTCGACCAACATATGCAACAGCTCCAGGAACGAACGAGACAAAGCCGTGCCAATACGGGCAGCTCAGGGCCCCCGGTGCGTCCGCGTCCAGGAGTACCGAGACTGCAGCCTTTGAGTGTTCCAGTGGCGAACCCAGACGAAAGCGCTTCCGATCCCTCACGTTCTGATAGCAGAACTCCAAGGCCCCGAGCTGGTAGGGGTAGCGACCGACCTAATCGTCTGAGGCGGCCCAGAGATTCCAATACTTCCTCTCTCCTAGATACGCCGGTCCCTCACTTAGACTCTCCCACCGCCATGCCTCAACAGGTAGAAGATGAACACCAGTTGGACCGTGCAAGGACGAAACGTCGAAAGCTTGACACAGATGATAATAGAGAAGGATTACAGGGCTTCCGCTACGGTCAATATGGCCAGGTGGTGCCTGGGGCACTCAGGATGGAGTTGACTAGCTGCGATGGGGGAAGATATGAGCCGCATGGCGAGAGCTCATGGCCAGAGAACATTCTTCGCAATGACGCTTCCGTATACTGTACGAAATCTGATCGCTGCAATCTTGTTCTGAAGCACCAGGGGGAGTCTCCGTTCTGCCTGAAGAAGATTGTAATCAAAGCGCCAAAATCAGGCTACAACTCCCCGTACGTTTCAGTTGGGCTAGATACTCTATCTCAGACTATCACTGACAATTTCAAAAGGATCCGGGAAGGCATGGTTTTCGTATCAATGTCATGTGATGAAGTCCTAGCCCGTACAGCTGCTTTCGAAGTGCAATGGGAATCAACTCGGCCCTTCGCGCGGCGTTTACCCGGCGGAATGCAACCATCCCAGGAGTATCTAAATTCATATCGACCTCCGCTGCAAAGCTTAGGTCGGGGCCCAGTTATTGACCCCTCCTCGGATTCAGAATCAGATAGTACTGATGACCCCGGCGCTGTAGAACCTAGTGCTAGCAATGTGCCAGACCCCACGTCTGAATTTCGAGTCACAACCGAGTACAGTGCGCAGTCCGACGTACGTCATGATCGTCTTGACCATATGGACGACGACGACCTGATTTCCCTTACGGATACCGATAGCATGCCCCTAGGGCGGATGGACGAGGACAACACAATATGCTCGGACAGTGAGATGAGCTTAAGCGACGATGATTCAAATGTCAGTACATTTACACGACGTCAGCGAGAGCTATCACGACGGATTCGAGCTATGCGTCGCCGCTATGTCGCAGAGCGAGAGGGCCAACCAAGGCGACGACCATACCTAGCCATGCCAACACCAGGTCTGCGCCCTGAAGGCACACTTGGCTCAGAGTCTCCTCAACTAATGAAACCACATGCTCGCTTTTCCATTGAGCGCAATAAAAGCATGGTCAGCATCAAATTCGATCCCCCTCCGTACGTTCCTTCCCGTCATGCTTCTCTCAATAGGTATACATCAATCCCTAACCATCCACTACAGCTCAGGACGATATATCCTCATCAAACTATGGAGTCCTCACAGCGGCAAAAACATAGACATCCAAAGCATCATCGCCTACGGCTACGCCGGGACCAGATTCTTCCCTGCTTTGAGTTTCAGGTAAACCAAACCAGTGGGATTTCTCCTTTTTCTCCTCCCCCCTCTTCCTTCTTCTGAACCAAATCATACCAGAATGTTCTCTGGGCCTGCTACTGTAGATTTCACTTGCATACAATAATACAGCAAACCAGCACAACTAGACGAATGCACATTGCGAAACCTCGGAACGGAACTGCACGGAATGGAACATAATGCTTGGTGTATATGGAGTATGGCGTCCATTGACTATCATCTCATGGTGTCTTTCTTAACTTTCTCTTTTTATCTTTTCGAGTGCTCAAACCGGGCTGCTAACACGAACTCACCATCCCTGAAATTACTGGTCATTGCTTGATGCCTTCTCTCATCACCTCACATGCTGAATTACTTCATGACCCATTAACCCAAGAACCCATTGCATGTCCTCATCTGACCATTCTCAAATAACAAATGGACATCATATTATTCTTTAGGTAGTAAAATATTCCATCGAAATGGAATGCCTAGAATGTACCTACTATCTATCTATCTTACTATCACACCTCCGATCATATTTCAGAAATTGTAAATTTGAAAAAG